TTTGATAGCAACTGTGGAAGTCTTTGTTTTATGATGAATTATGTCAGAAAACCTGCGAACAGAACTTTTTATTATGTTGTACTAATGTACTATTATTAAATTCATCACTTCAGTAACGAATTTTATACACCGAGGAGTCTTAGAGTTAATTTCGCGATGAATTAATCGAGTGTTATTGACAAATGGAGGCTTTTACTTTGTAGAATCTGTTCCGTTCAAGTTTGACAGTGAAGGGGGCGTGTTGTTAGCTGTTAGCCTGCGTGCTAACCGTGAGAGCTAAAGTTGACTTTCACTTTCTGAAGCTGGGATTCTGTCAGCGGGATGAACCGGGCTTCCAGGAAAACGAAACTGGACGCTGTCACCGCTGACGCTAACTCATTTTAGTTCGTAGATGTCGTTATGTAACTCTTTTTGGTGGCGATATTGACAACTTTTAGCGCAAAGTTTCGCCCCGCTTGACGTCCAAAACACGCAGGTATCTTTAGCGGCTAGCACCCTGCTAGCATGGACGGCGGCGGAAGCATGCAGAGTATTGACGAGAGGGGTGCCGAGAAATTAATGGATGACTACTTGAAATCGATCGGTTTGCATCGGAAGAAGATAGCCAAAGACGGGTCCTGTTTGTTTCGGGCTGTCGCCGAGCAGGTAAAACGGAAAAACTACAGAAAATGCTAACGTTAAGTAAGTTTTTAGCTTAGCACAGGTGAGAAGCTGGGCTTGGTCTGTTTGGTGTGCAGCTGCGATGTCCTAATGTTAGCCGAACAAAAGTTATGCCCACAAACTCTGGTTTCAGCTTAGACTCAGACCTACATCTACAAATGAATAAACTTTAAATGATGAAAAAAAATTTAATTGTGGCTTTTGTAAATCGTACTTCCGGCTTGTTTACCCAAAAGTGTCTCTGCTAGGCTTCTGACTGCAAAGGTCAGCTGTTTACAACTTCTTAACGAATTGTAAATGTAATATTTCCACAATATATGTGAGAATATTGATATTAAGTATGTCTGTTTGTGTTTATTGTTGACCTTTGACCCCTCCTGTGTAGGTGCTGCATTGCCAAAGCCTTCATACTAAAGTCAGGGCGAAGTGTGTGGAGTTTCTGAAGCAGAACAGAGACACCTATGAGGCGGTATGTACAGTGTCACCAAAATAAAACAACATCATGGGAGAGCAAAGTGGTTTTACTTTTCGAACTAGAAAGTAGATTTGTGGTAAAAATAGCTGCCAGGGAGTATTTTTTATTTACTGAATTAGAATTCTTAGAAAGGAGGAGAAATTTGTGTTAAAAAGAAACTGAAACCATATTGTGTGGTTTGAAAAGTAACTAAAGGGAAATAATAAACAGGTTTATTGGTTTAAGCAAATTTGTCAACCCAGTAGTCATCGGGAGGCTTTGGTGTTGATGTTCATTGACACTGGGATGTCCATGTGTCGTGAGATATTTATTTTTATTGTAATGTCTTTTGTGAACTTCTTAAATCTGTTCACACGATGATGATAAAAAACGACTACAACGAACACTGAAACTAGTCAAACTAAACTGAAACATGCAAATGCCCTGGAAACTGAAGTGAAAGTTAAAGGGTAAAACTTCAATAACTGCACTCATACCTATGAAAAGACATCAAAAAACACATAATTTAGAGTCAGTGTATCATATAGGTTGGACACTGTGTATATTTTTGTACATTACGGACAATTTCAGTTCTTTATCTGTACAGTTACCCATGTATACACTTACCGGCTGCTTTATTTGGTAGTACAGGGTTGGATGCCCTTTTGCTGTCAGACCTGCTTTAATACTTTGTGGCACAGATTCAACAAGGAGCAGGAAACATTCTTCAGAGATTTTGGTTCATGTTGATGTGATGGCATCCTGCTGATTTCCTGCTCAACCGCATCACAAAGGTGCTCTACTGGATTGAGATCTGTGGAGGAAAAGTGTTGAGAAAATATTCTGAACCCACTATCTAAATGTTGCAGCAGAAATCAAGACTCGCATTAGATCAGGTGATATTTCTCCAGTCCTCTGTTGACCGTTTTTGGCGAGCCTGTGTTAATTGTAGCCTCAGTTTCCTGCTCTTAGCTGACAGGAGTGTGTGCTTGGTATGGTTTCATGTGTTCTGCATACAGAGATGCTCTTCTGCATGCCTTGGTATTAAGGGTGTCATTTGAGTTGCTGTTGCCTTCCTATCAACATGAAGCAGGCTGTCCATGACATCGTCAAGGCATTTTTACCAAGAGACCTGCTGTTCCTTGGTTTTTTTCGTTTTTTTTTTTTTTTTTTTTGGACCTTGAAACCACAGAGATGGTTGTGCTGAAAAATCCCAGCAGATCAGCAGCTTCTAAAATACTCAGACCAACAACCATGTGCGTTCAAAGTCACTTGAATCCACTTTCCTCCCTATCCCTGGGCTCAGACTGAACTTCAGCAGGTCATCTTGACCAGTGTACATGAATGCACTGAGCTGCTGACAGGTGTACCTAATGAAGTGGCCAGTGAGTATAAATTCAGCTGGTGACCCGTTCGTACTGATTACACACAGCATTCAAACAAAGGTGATTGTTAAACATTATATATATACTTCAACGAGGCGGCTCGGTTTTGTCCCACCCGTGTGTTATAATTAATCCTGGGAGGTGTAAACATCCCCTCTATGAGCTCTGAGGCTTCGAACTAATAAATTACATGAATAATAAATGTAGATGTAACAGGTGCTTACACCATGTCTGCTCAGCACTGAGAATTTGAACTTATATTTAGAAGTAATTTTCACTAAGCATGTGCTTGCATTCTCCATCTGTAACCTGTTATTGTAACTGAGAGGTTGTTATATTGTTTTAATGTATCTCAGTTTAGTTAATGTCTTTTTCACTATTCAGAGACGTTCAGTTGTAATTTATCTTCATGATGGTGTGGCTGGTGGTTGTCGGGGACTTCACAATAAATCAAAACAAATGTGTCCCGAGTCTCAATAAGCAGACGTACCGAAGCCTCCCGATACTGTTTGTTTTGACAAACGTGACGACGCTGAGCAAAGTTAATAGTTCTGGTATTTTTAGGGTTTGCTTTTCCTCTTAAAGAGCCGGACCGAGCTGTTATTCAATTGCAGTCGAGTTAATCATAAGTCTGTAAAGTAAGACAAGTAAAAACATGATAGAATTAAAAAAAAATAAATTGTTTTTGTTTGTTTAGTTTAGCTTTATTCTCTTTAGTGACGTCACCCTGTGGCCTAACATTGAGAAAAGAAGCTGCTTTTGCCTCTCACACAAGCTGCAACTTCTCTATTTATAGCAGAAAACGTGTGAAAGCTCGAGCTTTCGGTCTTGTTTTAATGCATGAGCTGCACGTAATCATGATCCTGCTCGTTTCGTCGATAAATAATATAAATTACCAAGTTTTATTTTTTTTAAATGTCTTGTTTTTGTTTTCAACAGCTGAGAACTGAAAGTTAGTGAGTTCACACCAAATGTGAGACAGAAAAGGCTCAAACGTTTCCTGTCTGAGCAGATTTTTGGCTGTTTTTGGACCCTCAAACTGCTGTCGAGGAGTCGATTTACTCTTCTGTGAATCACAGATCACGGTTGAGTGACTCTGCGGGTTTTCGCTCCCTGAGTGACACATGAGAGGAAATGAAAGCAAAAGCTGCTGCTGGTGTTGTTTTTAATAGTGGTGATAAACTCGCTCTGCTGCAGGGCTTTACTACATTTCCCAGGGTGCCTTTTGGGCAGCTGGCAGAGCAGGAGCTGTGAGCTGCTGTCAGAATGGGGCATAGAGGTGGATCAACAGCATTAAAGCTCCACCTGTCATGTTGCTGCCTTCACTTCCTGAAGGAGTGGAAATGTTTTAGGTCCCTTTTCAAAAAACTTTTAAATAATTTCTTGTGTGTGTTTGTTTGTTTTTCACTTGTTTACTTCTTAAATATCTTGATGGAGGGAGTACAGTCTGATAGATTTTTTCTTTTCTAAATTCATTTTTAACCTCCTAAGACCTGAACTCTTCCACAGCATGCATTTTTAATTTCTCTTTGATATTTGGGCACATTGGGGCCCGATGAATGTAAAAACAAAGAATTACCAGATTTTTTCTTTTTACCAAATTTTTGTTTCTAAGAAAAATTAGATCCACACATGAGGATATTCATTTAAAGGACAGTGGCAGTATAAAGTCCTCGTAAGTGGATATCAGGTCCTTGTAGAGCAAAATTGAGTATTTTGGTCTAAATAACCCAAAATGTGATGTCCACATACGTGGACGCCAGGTCCTAGGAGGTTAAAAATATCTTTCGACAGCATGTCATTGGCTAAACGGCTAAATTTAGTTACCTCTGACTGCGGTGTTTTAGGTTTTGTGTGGCCTGGTCAGCTGTAAACATGTTTATTTCTGCTGCAGAGTTAAACATGGCAACACTGGAGTCTGTGGGGACAGACTCGCGTATCCTTTAGAGGAAGTGGCGGTTTTATTTTGGCTTTGTTTTCAGCCTCACACATCATGTTTTTGGTTTTTTGGGAGAACTGAGGAAGAAAATTGCCTAAAAAAGTCACTGCTGTTTTTGTTTTGCAGTTTATTGAAGGTGACTTTGAGGATTACCTGTGCAAGCTTCAGGATCCACAGGTAAAAACACCACACGCTCTTATTGTTCTCACATGCTGGGTCATTTTAATATGAAAGCTCATAAAGTTTCTCTGTTTTCCAGCAATGGGTGGGAGAGGTGGAGATCAACGCGCTGGCCGCCATGTACAAGTGAGTGAGATCAGAGGTCTCTGAACAGAGAGCTGCACTTTAACTCGACAGAAAGCCTAGTGGGAGTTCCCACAGTGTTTGAGCTTTATTCACTGTGGATAATAAAGCTTTACGCTCACTGGCCACTTCATTAAGTATACCTATTTAAATGCTCGTTAACACAAATGTCTAATCAGCCAATCACATGAAAGCAGCTCTGTCTGTTTGTGTGTGGAGAAATGGTGAAGACGACCTGCTGAAGTTCAGTCTGAGCATCAGAATGAGGAAGAACGGTGATTTCAGTGACTTTGAGCGTAGCGTGGTTGTTCGTCTGAGTAGTTCAGAGACTGCTGATCTGCTGGGATTTTCCCCGACAACCATCTCTGTGGTTTACAGAGAATAATTCAAAACTGACAGAATATGCAGAGAACGGCTTGTTTATGTCAGATTTAAGAGCAGAATGCTGATAGGAAGGTAACAGCAACCCAAATAAGCACTCATATTCCAACCAAGGTATGCAGAAGAGCATCTCTGAATGCACAACACATTAAACCATGAAGCAGCAGAGGCCCACACTGGGTGTCACTCCTCCCAGCTCCCAGTACTGGTTTCTTGAACCAGTTTATTATACTCACTGGCCTCCACAGTCACCAGACATCCAACAGAGGACCTTTAGGACGTGGTAGAAGCAGAGATTTACACGCGCAGCTGAAACCTCCGCAGTAACTGTGTGATGCTGTTGTGTCACTGAAGCCACAGCAATGTTTCCAGCAGCCTTTTAAACCTCTGCCACGAAGAATTAAGGCAAACAGGTCCAGTCTGGCACTAACAAGGTGTATCTAATATAGTGGCCAGTGCAAATGTGATACTTGGATATTTTATTCACATAGTAACAATAATCACTCGTTTATGAGACGTTTTGTTTTGTTACTAAAAGCTAAAATCACCTCTGTCAGCATCCAGGTTTCAAACTAGTCTTTTTGAGTGTGTGCTGCTCAGTTCTTCCTCCAGTTTCATTGGTGCAGGTTTTGAGCAGCGGACCAATGCCGTGTGAGGTGTTTTTGATAATATGGCAGTGCAGTTTCTAAGCGCCGATAACGATGTGTGCAATGATCCTAGTGACACTGTACTGCCACCGCTCGGATGATTTTGATGAAAATGGTTGTGACTCGTTGTCTGTGGCTGTAAAGAGGCGCCACATTTACTTTAGGAGGTCTTGAAGCTACACTTGATGAAAATCTTCTGCCCCCATGACCTGGACGCAAATGAGCAGAAGAGAATAGATGGATTATGTTTGGGTTTTTACCCCTTAGCTGTAAAAGACTGATGGGGTCACGACAAGTCTTGGACGAGTTTGGATCTTGGTGACCTCGACCTCAAGGTCAAAGGTCAAGTTTTCTGAAAATAACTGAAGAAGGAAGTCACCAAAGATTTTCCCTTTGAGGCAGCGCTGCCAGCTGTTTTGGGAAACTGCACGTAATGAGACAAATAACGTTTCTTTTTATTTAGTTTAAAGATGTGCATTTAAGTTTTCTAAGACACCCAGACCATCACCTTTTGTTTGGACGCACAGTCTGAGACGTTCACGGAGTTTGACGATGATCTGCTTGTGAAATGTTTGTGAACGAGGCTCGGGGGTCTTAACAGGTCGGCAACGACCATCAGTCTGTCGACACGGCAACACTTAAACCCTGAGTTAGGCTTTAAAGGGCAGCCCGTCGGGAATGCTCATCTCAGTCAGATATGAAGCAGCATCCCGAGGTGGCGGTGAAATCATCCCAGGTGTGACAGCTTTGGCTCTCTGGGTCCAAACGTGCGGAAGCTCGTCCTCATTTATAGTTGGAGGAATCTGCGTTCCTGCCCCCGAGTTTAGCATCAGATGGTGAAAACGATGAGTCACCAAAGCTTCGTCATCTCATTTCATCCTCTCCTCTCTCTCTCTTCGTCTCTTTTGATCTCTTCCTGCAGGAGGGATTTTCTGATCTTCCAGGAGCCCGGCAAGCCAGCCGTCAACATCACAGGCAACAACTTCAAGGACAAGGTGAGGTGGACGCGTTCGGCCGAGCGTTTAGTTAGAGACACCATTTGCATTTCCTGTCGGAGGAAAACTTTCAGAAAATACACCTAGCTGTCAGGCGGAAGCTTTGAGGCGCTAACGGCGATTTTTCAAACGACACAGCTTGTTATTTTGTCTTTACCGGATATTTTAAAGCAGGAAAAAAAAAGATCGGTTCATCCCGAAGCCTTTCGGGCTCTTCTCACTTCAGTTTCCACTCTTTTATTTACTGAAGCCGAACCGTTTGTTTGCCTCTACAGGTGCAGCTGTGCTTCCTGAACGGGAATCACTATGACAGTGTTTATCCCATCAGCTGGATCAAGAACACCGCACTCTGCCAGTGTGAGTGTCTGTGATTTCATTTTGTTTGTAAAACAAGGAGACTGGAAAAGAGTTTAACTGATCCTGCAGATCCTCTCAGGGAGGATAATCATCACTGAAGAGAAGTCTCAGTGAATTCATAACAAACAGATGAGAGCATCAATCAAAATGTGGGCACTCGGCAGAGAAAATGAGAGAACAGAGACCACATTATAAACCAAACACCACATAGTCAGAGTAAGGCTGCGGCACTCCGAGGAAACCCTTTCAGCTCAAATCTTCATAACACTTCTTAGTCAGTGTGCAAGAGGAGCAGCGTGAGTCATTCACCACGCTGCACAAACTGGTTTTGTCTTAACTCTGCTAAAGGTGAACAATCACAGGAGAGCCTGCAGAGCCTCTGATTCATGCTGCTGTGTGTCCAGCGTTTAACACTGATGTCTCTGTTTGACATCTCTAACAGTCGCTGTCGTCTAATTACTGCCCGTTAATTTGATGTAACGTAAGCTTGTAGTGTTTCTTGTAGTGTAAGTTTCTGAAGTCCAGCGACCCGAGAAAACCGACACTTTGCAGCATAAACACAGAAGTTAAACTCTGTGAGCAGCTCGCAGGTGTCTGCTGACTCAGAACGTTTTCTGTACTACAAACTTGATTCGCTTCACTCACCCTGTCACAGACACACATTCATGCAGCACTATCTAACATTACAACACAGTCAAAACGTGGGGGTTCAGGATACTTGGACCAAAGGAACAGACTGATCTTTCGATCTTCTGCTTGGTAGATGCTTTACTGCCTGAGCCCTCGTATCACTTTCCCCTTAAATCTTCACCTCGGGATCGTCTATCAAACGTATTTGTTACCTCTGACGTGAAGGTCAAGTTTTTCATGTAGCGTTCTGTCTGTGAACACGATATCTCTAAAAGTGGTGAAACCTTGTAGGGGTATAGAGTGGGGTCGTGGCCCACATCCACCCAGCGTGTCTCACTGAGTACCAGCTCAAACATAGTTCAACATGGCAGCCCGAAACTCCCCTGACGTCATTTGTGTGCGACAGAAACACAACACAGCAATGGAGGACGTCAGGGTGATGGTACGCCTGCTGCTAAAACCCACCTTGTTGCTGGACCACGATGTTGTGGTGCAGCCGTCTTCCTCATCGTCGGGTTTCAAAAAATTCTTGTGAAGGCGTTACTCTCATGACTCACGTGGTGTTTTCACTTCTTGGCCAATCAGTGACATTCCGTCTTTTGACGTCACATTTTCGGAGTGACTCGGCACATTTGAAACCCTGGCTGAGTAGGTACCGGATAATACCAGCTAATCGCCACATGGGCCGAGCAGCATGCACCCCGATGCCCTCCATTGTTGTGTTTGTGTCGCGTACCAAGAGCTTGTGGGGCTTCGGGCTGCCTTGCTGTAACTGCTTCGCCTACATTGAGGTTTCGCTCAGTTGTAATAGAAAACGACTGAAGTCAAGTAGATGCCAGTGGAAAAGAGACTACAGGCTATTCTTCATAGGCCCACAGCAGGGGTCTGATGCTTTGTTAAAAAGGTGGCAGTCAAAGTCGAGGCTCGCCCAACATGACAGTCTTGTATTATTATGTGATTGTTCATCATAATCAATCCATCCACTTAAATGCAGCCTGCAAAGACAGTAAGTCAGTGATTACAGTTTAATGAAACTGGATGAGCCCACAGAGCGTGGGTTACACATTCACTCACTTTTTTTTTTTTTCTTGGTTTTTCAAATATTGAATTTCGGTCTCGCCTCTTATCAAAAGTTAGACTTCAGGCTATAATTAGACCTCCTGTGATTCACACGAACACAGCAGCAAACCCCAGAAAAACCCTCATCCCGAGTCTCTGTGTGATTCTCCTGCAGCCGTCCTGTACGAGCTGCTGTACGAAGGCGTGTTTAAGGTGGACCGCAGCTATTTGGGTTCCTGTCAGCGCATCGGCCGACCCGCCGACCTCCTGAGCGACGACTGCATGCCCGCCTGCCCCAGCAGCGACGACTCCGACCTGGATGTAGACGAGGCGCTGTGGTAGGAAACTGGCATCAAGCAGCGGTTTATTCACCTGCATGATAACTTTTACTGTGAAGGGAAATGAGTCAAAATCCAGCACCTTGTGCCTGATTTTTAGTAAACGAGCACTCACACTTCATTTTTATTTACTGGCAGTGAATTCACAGGCTGCTGGTTTAGTTTACTTCCTCATCGTTATTGATTTACTTTTGTATACTAAAAACTGATTACCTACTTTTCGGACATATTGACACTTTATTTCCTTTGTAAGTGTTCTCAGCTCCTTTTATCAAACACAGTAAAACTTTAAGGCTTTAATAATCTCATGATGTCTGTTTTTGTGGCTCAGGGTGGAAAATGGAACCAGCCCTACCTCCACGAAGCACAACCAAAGCTACAGGGTAACATTCATAAAACACATGTTTTATAACAACCACACAGGGTAGTACTGTCACTGAAGTGTGTGTGTGTGTAACAGGGCCGTGGGCGTCGGCTGCCTCAGAGGGTGAGGCGATCTTTGAACCCGACATTGCTCAGAAATGTGGAGTACGATGTCTGGCACAAGCTGCCAGAGACTAGCACACGGCCACACGCACGCGCACACACACACACACACACACACACACACACACACACACACACACACACACACACACAGAAAAACAAAGCATGTGTCTAAAAGTAGTCAGATCCCAGGCCGATGTCCAAAGAAACGACCTGCTTCACTATCAGTTTTGTCGTGTGTAAGTTCACGCGAGGTCAACGTTACGATGAAACATGTTTGTTGAACATTTTCACAAGATAAAAATAACTAGAGCAACACGAGTTTAAAAACTAAGTAAAATTTAAATACACATTCTTGTGTTCACACATGTGCGTGGGCTGGAGGGATGTGTGGTATGCAGCACATCAAAGATGTGAGTGGTGTAAGCAGCAGTCTGATGGTCACGTATGGGTCAAGAACACTTTCATAAGTTATAAGAACGTCCGGCTGCTTGGACGGGTGACTGAAGACGAGCAGACCAGAACACTGCTTCAAAGTACAGGCTGGTTTGCATCGGTTATAACCGGCCATGTTGGTGGTACTATTTCCTACAGTGGTCTGACAAAAGCAAACGCGAGGATAGTTTAGTTGGGAATTTGGCTGAGCTGAGAGCAAACCGATGTGAGCAGAGAGAGGAGACACTGGTTCCTGTGGTGTTGCATGCACGCCACTGCTAGAAATATGCTGGGAGTGCATGATGTGTATCTGTGCTGGTGCATCACACCTGAGTGAGTGCTGGTAATGTGTGGTAAGCTCCCACTGAAACCACAGGAAGCTGTCTGCAGGAAGTGCTTCAGGTTTCTCAGGTGTTACTGTGGTGCTGGATAAATGCTGGGAAACCCTGTCAGCTGCAGAGGTCACAATCACATTACGTATAAATATAGACTCAAAGGAGACAGTTTTATATTCATTAAACTAACTCAGACTTCAAATAGCAGCGCAGACTCACTGTTGAGATTTGTCGTCTTGGGCTTGGTTTTCTTTCGGGGCTGCTTCAAACTGCCCGCTGATCGTCAGACTGTAATGTTCAATGTGGACACTTTACAGAGTTGAACGTTTGGGACAACTTGCAGTTCTGGACTTTGTATTGAACTCTCTGCACACCAATGGGATTCTGTTGGGATGTTCCAGATTCCTGAGAATTCCTAAAGACGGGAAAACACCCGAGGCTATGACCCTGCTGTGAAGCGCCAGTTATGCTGACACGGTTTATCAAAGCTGTCATTCACGGCTTTGATCCTCTACTGACTTTTGGATGGCGTCCTTCGTACATCAGTGATTATATAATATAAACTAAACTCCTTCACATGTCGAACATGTAAAATTAGTCAGACTCGCCTGATCTTAACTACAGCTGTTAGCGCTGACTGCATCACTTCACTGGGCAGATTTGAGGCTTTTATTTTTTCAAACCATTTTGTAATTTTTTTTTCAAACACGAATAAACAGATCTGACCAATCAGAGCGCTGCATTTGGCAACAAGTCCGGGTCAGCCGGCTCTCTGAAATTATTTCTTTGCCAACAAGAGTTCAAATTTCCTCACGGCACGTCGGGGCTCGATGTCGACTACATTTTAACTGATCAGGTCATAACCCCAGTGGACCTGCAGGTGAGGTGGACACCTGAGTTTGTGACTGCAATAATGCGAGAACGAGGCATGAATCCTGATGAGGTCAGAGGGCAGAAGTGTTGAGGCTGTGTACAATTTTAACATCTACTAAGAGAATGACTGGTACTGGCTCTGAGCGCCGTCCCGGCTTGTCGATGAGGCGGGACGTCTGTGCCCAGCCTGATCGTTAAAGCGGAGGACCACTGCTCCACTTAGCTGGACACAGCTGTTGGTGGCAGGCAGCAGCAGCTGGATGTGATAACCTGTGTTTAAATATGCAAAACAGTGGCAGCGTAGCAGGTGGTGCAGAAGCTGAAAGTGTGACAATCAGCTGTGTTTTTGGATTTTGTAGGAAGATTGAAAACAGACGTCAGGCTGGCGATAAAAGATCTGAAGGGGAACTCTGAACACTTTTTGGACTCAAAGTGATCAGAAAATCATTTTTTAACAAAAGTTAAAAGTGAATGTTTCACGTTTTATTTTCTTTTTTTCTTTTAGCCCAACAGAAGCTGGATTACTGCATCGCTGCTGGGATGCAGTTCACTGTAGGAGACCGCTGCCAGGTGTGTGTGTGTGTGTGTGTGTGTGTGTGTGTGTGTGTGTGTGTGTGTGTGTGTGATCTCCCGAGTGCATGTTTCACGCTGTTTGTGCGTCACCTGCAGGTTCGTCTCGAGGGAACCAATCGGCTCTACAGCGCCGTCATCAAGGAGGTGCCGGCCAATAACCAGCCAGTGACCGTTTACATAGAAGATCTGGGCAGGAAGTAGGTCGCACTAACAGCACGCACACACGCTCAGTGTCGTGGAGGTTGCACAGACGTGACAAATCTTGTTATGTGTGTTTTAAGGCAGGTGGTGCCTTTGTGGAGTGTCCGCCCTCCCAGTGATGACAGCGGGTGGAGCAAGGTGGGCAACCGTGACAAGAGGCTCAGCAACGGGCACGGAGGAGGTGAACACGTGCGCGCACACGTATGTTACAGGTTTATTGCATGAGTGCAGTCTGTGGAAACTCTCTTTCTCCTTCAGAGTGGGAGGAGCGGGGGAGAGGCCGAGGAAGGGGGAAGTCCGTCGGGCCATCGTCGTCCTCTGGTTCTCAGGCAGCGGCGCCGGGCTCAGGGGGCCGCACGCTGAAGCAGCACTCCTGGCCCCCGCAGGCCAATGTAGAGGAGCAGGGCGGGGCCAAAACCAGCAGGTGTGTCATCTGTGTTTGTATACATCAGTGCTGGATCTCACAATGACACGATCACTGAACCCCTCCTTCATAATCTCCCTCTATAAAGCATAAATATCATTTTGAGCTCGATTATTAGTTTATTTATTTTGTAGTTCTTTTCATTTTACGCTGCTGTTGTTGCTCTTTGGATTAAATAAAGTTCTTCTGCGTTTCTGTGTCTTTCTACAGGAAGTCCGTGGGTGCGGCGGAGGTGGCGTTCGGCCTGACAGAGGAGCAGCGATTGGCCAAAGAGGAGGAGGAGAGGAACGTGGCGTTGGTGGAGATCCAGCTCAGAGACGAGCACAGCTTCCCCGCACTGGGCGTGAGTTCACATGAGGCTGATTTCATGATAGGTGCAGATAAACCTGAACGTCCTGCTGAGGCTGGGTCGACCTGGTTTGAACCCTTTTAGAAAGGCAGCGAGCTGATGTTTAAACATCTGGGGCCAGATTCACTGACGATTCCCAGACAGCGCAGAGAGGTGTTCAGTTTTACGGCTGAACGCAGACGCGGGCGGTTCATTTTAATATCGAGAACAAAAAGATGAGACATGAGACTTTTTTCTTTCTTTGTTTTAATTACATTAAATAGAGTTAGCAGAAAAAACTGTGTCGCAAATATTCTCCTCCACACTTTTATTTTTCTCCTGTTTTTTTTCCCGTTTTTCTTTTCTTCACTGCTTCTGCTCCTCCTGTCAGCTCTGGCTTTGCTGTGTTACACATGTGAAAAATATTAAAAACACCAACAAGAGGAGCCTACAGAGAAAAGCAGAGCCAGACATGCACATGAAACGTGGTCAGTGCCTCAGACGTGATCGTGTCACTGTGCTCTCTTTGTAAATACCAGCAGTGTCTTGTTTTCGTTTGCGCTGATGCAGCGTGTTGCTAAACATGGCTGCTGGTGGTTACCGAAAACTTCAACAGGAAATTAAAGCAGAACAAATCAAAGTCTCCTACAGAAGCAAGGCCAACAGAAGAGGTGGGAACTCATCTGTAAGCTGGAGAAACAGAAGCCGACATGGATTCTGACCTGTCGAGGAGCCTGCAGGCGCCGTGTCGTAGTTTACTGAGAGTTTTATGTTTATTTTCTACCTCGCTCACCTCTGACTGCCAGACAGGAGTGTTACTCACATTTACAGACACTATTTTCACTGCTTCGTTTCCTCTCCTTCATTTTCCTCAGTGTTGTGTTTCTATGTCGAAGTATTGATGTGGACTCGGGGAATAGTGCATTGATGGGATACAGAGAAAACACACAGCAAGTGGCCCATATGGTAAAAATGTTTAATGAGCTCCAGGCTCGCTGTTAGGACATGTAAAAGTCTGAAAATGTTCCTCAGAGGCTGATACACGCCGCTCCGGGAAGGATGAGAGTTTGGATTTAATTCATCATGCTCACGCTGTTTCTTGTTCAGCAGATGTTTTTTAGTTTTTAATGTTTCTAATGTTTGTTTTTCTCCCCTCAGTCTCAGCCGGGGATGCAGGGAGAGGGAGGGAAGAGGAAAGGAGAGAAGAAGCGATCTCAGAGGAACAAGACGGTGAGTTCAGACCACAAACGGACACAAACAGGGAGACATGTTATGATGCAGAAACGCTCTCAGGGCCATGTCCTCTGGTCCGAATCAGCTGATGAGTTTGTAAACTTGCAGCTTTTCCCTCGCAGTTTCGTTTGTTTGCACACAGCGAAGTCCAAGCGGACCAGAATGCATCACTACAAACTACGTGAGAGCATTTCAGTCTGCTCATTGGCCTGATGCGTCTGGTGTGGAAGCAACTAAAGTAAATACAGGAAGAAGATGCTGTGTGAGAACTGATTCATTTCCCAGCTAGTTGGTATCCCGCACAGACCGCTGCACATCTGTAGGACCTTCCAGCAGAGGATACAAAAGAACACAAGCTTACGGGGCGTGTTGTAGCTCAAGCTTATAGTAGTTGGTTTGGATCGCGTTCACACCATAAACGAACCGCTGTGTTCGTTGTGAACTGTACTTTGGAGGTGGTGTTCTCTGTACAGTGTTCACATCTGCACAGCCTCGTCAAAAGGGGAAAACTAACCAGAGTTTGATTTAAACAGACTAAACACCCTAACATTAATCACCAGCACAAAAAGGCACCGCATGGTATGTGACATTGTTCACATTCAGCTGTGAATGATTTCGCCTGCTCAGTTAGTGCGTACATGACTGTTAATGGGAGCAGCCGGTGAACATTCGTGTCTTCATTTAAGAGGTTTAATGCAACGATCTGCATTTAAAGTTAAAAGCATCCTGGTGCCGAGGCTCAGTGATACACTGATGCTAACTTTATTTGTAAAGCACCTTTCACACAGACGACTGACAGAAGAAAAAAGGATGAAACAAAATAATCAGCAGTGGCACGAAACTCAAATTAAAAACACAAAACATCAAAGAAATGAAATTAAAATGGAAAGGCCTGCAAGTAGAATTAGAGTACATGAAATTAAATTGAGAACAATTAGAAAATGAGATGAAATGCTAATAAAGAAAATCAAATTAAAAAGTCTATCAGGAAGCTTTGTAGGAAAATTAGATTGCTGAATAAAAACCAAAATACTTAGAAACTAACAACAATAAAACAGAAGATGAATACAAAACATAAGTTAAAACAAATTAAAATAACTGATCGCACGCTGTCAGCTCGTGAGGCGTTTGCCGTCCTCTGAAAACTACGTACGCCACAGCATTCAGGAGCTTCTTTGAGACTGTCCTTCCCTCACATCACTGTGGAGCAGTTTTGACCTGATTTTCTTTACAACGTTGCTTCCAGTCATTGAGGTTTACAGATGGTAATTTATGCAAAGCTCTTAAGTTTTCACCACAGCCCTCCATGGACTTCATGGTTGCTTCGTTTTTTTAGCCATTTGGTTGTAATTTGGCTTGGACCATCGTCCTGTTGCATGACAGTGTTTGTGTGTCAGACAGCTGACGGGGTCCTACATTTACACAGAACGCTTTTGTATAAAGATGGCTTCATGTATGACTCAATGACTGGTGCCCAAATCATCATCGCTCCACCACCGCGCTGACTTTGTTCAGATGGAACATAAGCTGTGCTGCCATGCTCTTTAAGAGAGACGGCAATCGTTCCAACGAGAAACGATGTGAGAGCGAGACCACGAGGTGATTTTTAAATCGGTAAAAAACCTCTGAAAATGAGAAAAAGCCTATGAGTGCACGAGTTCTAGTTTGCTTCGTACCTGGGACTTCAGAAAGGAAGCTCTATGAAGAATGTGGTCACTCCATATATGATCTATCAAATCTGAAGTTTCCACCTGACCCCAGAAGCTGAGCAGCTGTTTTTTTCTGTGCATTTGGTCGTTGAAATGTTACCTGAGACCTTCAGGGACCGTCTGGAATTTAAAACCTGGAGTCTGATCGCTGCTGCTCTGTCCTTTTACAGAAGAGCCCCGTTGAAGATGTCAGAGCTCCGTCTCCTTCTGCCGGGGACAAACCCACACCCTCCACCCCACCTCTTACAGCAACCTCTACAACCACTACACCTGACACCATGACCAGCCCCGCCCTTCCTGCTGCTAAACCTTCTGACTCCACCCCCTCGGGGCTGAATTTTGTCAAGGCCTTGATGCCAAATGCGAGCCCCTCTGTCAGTTTGCCACTCACTTCTGTAGCTCCGGCTGCTAAAACAAACACACCTTCCTACGCCTCAGCCACTGCTGCGCCGGGCTCTCCTCCTCCTCCTGCTGCTCCTCCTGCTGCTAAACCTTCTCCAAAAGGCGAAGCACCGCTGCCTCCCTCTGTCCCATCATCTGCCTTCTCCTACAGCACCCCCGTTCTCCCCGCAGCTTCACCCACCTCCTCCTCATCCTCTAAACTCCCCCCTGCATCTGTTCATCTTCCTAAGCCAACCACCTCTCCTCCTCCTTCCTCCTCAGTTCCTCCTCCCACTTTCATCACTCCCATTGCTTCCCCACCCACAGCTGCACCAGGCTTCCCCGCTACCCGCTCCTCTCCACCTATCACTTCTCTCCTCCGCTCCCAGACTCCACCCTCCTCCTCCTTAATTCATCCTTCAGCTGAAGTCCGGGAGGCTCCACCTGCTCCACCTCCAACCACAAGTAAGAAATCTGTTCACAGTTTCAGGCTCGTGTCACAGTTTAGACCGCAGGCTGTCCACAGAAGTAAATGCACAGATATCCCCAGACTGACACCAAGTAGCAGACTTTCAGTTTAAACCAGTAAAAACTATTTTTAAGTTTATTTTGGGGGTTAAAATCCTTTTGAATCAGATGCGCCTTTCAAAATAAGAGCTTTGTTTATTACCATTCCAGCATTTTTGGGGTTGCTCAGGTGTTTCAGGCTCTGGGTGTTTAGTAGTAAACAATTTAAATGATGGCTATAGCCAGTGTGGCTAGGCTTTTTGGGCTAGCACCCAGCTAACAGTGAAAGTGGCCACACCCCTTATAATTCTCAACTGTAATTCTTTATAAAACTCCAGCAGGTGACGTATGAAAGAAGAAAATACAGGTAGAGTTGTTCTGAAGGGTGAAATGATCCAAAGGATTTTTGTACTGTGCTGTAACAGGTTTATTTCTGTTGTTGGGAACTTGAAGATTGTTTTTCAGTTTTCAGCGAGATTTTAATAAACATAAAGTGAAAATCAGTAACGTGATTAACAGACAACAAATATATTTGAAGTTTAATTGAAAGATATTTGTTCTCACCCCTTAGTTTGTGCTTAATTTTGACTGTTTTGTATTTTTTTAGGCAGATAATTGGTAAATGTATCAGCAGCTGGCACGTCATTTACTTTGGTCTTCATGTCTTCTCTCTTTCTTTCAGATTCTTTACCAAATACTGGAGGCCCTCTGATGGCATCTCAGGCTTTCCAAAGTGAAATTCCTCCACCTGAGGTCCAGACCCAGGTCTCTGTGCCCTCAGCTGAGGAACAAGCAGAGTCTTCTTTACCCCAAATCCAGACTGAAAGTCAGGCTTCTCTACCACAAATCATGGGCCCACCCATGATGCTGAGCGAGCCCCAGGATCAGCCGCAGTCTGGCACAGAGGCGCCTGTCCTGCCTCAGACTGACCTCCAGCCCCACATTCAGACCTCTTATCCCACTCCTGTGGCTTCCTACCCCCAGGCCTCCCTTCCCCACCCCCCCGTCCAGGCTCCTCACCCTTCCCAGGTCCCACATCCCTCCCTTTCTCTCTCTGCCTCCACCATTGTTCCCCAGACCCAAACCGAAGCCCCACCACAACAGCACCAGTCTGCACCCGAATCTCAAGCTCCACCTGCCTCCGAGAAGCTATCCCCACCTCAACCCCCTCATTCTGCTCCTCCTCAGCCCCTCCCCGGACCCGTCCCCTTGCAGCAGATGTCCCAGCTCTACCAGGACCTCCTTTATCCCGGATTCCCCCAGGGAGAGAGAGGCGAGATAGCTGCGACTCCAAACCTTTCTTCCAACAAGTCCGGGGACGACCTGCCCACAGGTGAGCCACACCAAAGAGTCCTAAGATGATAAATAACCACGTCAACTGTCGCCATAGAAAACTGAACAATCAGATCATGCATCAGAGCCATGCCTGTGTCGTGCTCTGAGACTCACAGCTCTATATTCAAAGACGGTGCTGACTGTCAAAGTAAAACGAAATAATGAAAAAAATTAGGCATGACAGAAGTGTTTCAGCAGATTTGAAAACATGAGAAAATATCCACATGCTTTAGTTTAATCAGCACTGGATGTCCTACACGGACTCCCTCAGCGGGAAACACCTGTCCTTCCACAAAAACTGCTTTTGAACCATTTAGGCAAAGAAAATACTCACAGATGTGCACGGAGGCCACCATACAGGCAGGGTCAGACATAAAGAACATGCTGGTGCTTCCCTGTGAGACGAAGCAGCTGAAATAGACTAGAGATGAGTTTTGTATGTTAATGGTCAGTGTTTTCATGGAGCAAAAGTAGAGGCTGCGATGTGTCAGCGCAGTGAGCAACACCATGAAAGAGATATCTGATCAGGATTTTGTATCCTTGTGTGTTTTTTGTTTTTCTCCTCAGACGTCAACATCTTGAGGTTTTTCTTTAACTTGGGCGTTAAGGTAAGACGTAAGCCTGGACCAACAGACACACAAACGCACACCCACAAGACACAGACCAGGTTTGGAGAAGAGGATGGAGGGTTGTGTTAAAGTAAAAGCCCATCATCTCACATTTCCTGTTAACAAGTTGATTCATCGTGTGCTGTATTTTGGGAACATTTGGAATAAAAACAAAAAAATACAACCACGTAAACAATGACTTCTGATGCGGCATGCCCAGTTGCCTAGCAACAGGTATTGTTTACACAGATTTTAATGTGGTAAATTATGTAAAAATAATGCCAAGCACTACAAGATGTACTTTAATTTTGTTAAAATAAAAACAAAAGTTATTTTTGATGCACTTTTAAGTAAAATAACGAGGGGCTGATGCTGAGTCCTGCCTCTGCTCTCTTCCTCTACAGGCCTACTCCATGCCCATATACCCACCATACCTGTACCTCGTCCCCCTGCAGCAGGCCCATGCCATGCAGCCCAAGCCATCTTCCCGTTCCCCGTCCCCACAGTGCCTTCCCTCTAACACCCCCAGCAACACCCCCAGCAACACCCCCACCAACCCGCAGGAGGGCTATCCGCCTCACCAGTACCCTCCCACTGTAGCACCGGTGCCCTCTCAATATGACAACCAGGCTGCGCTCGATGAGCCCCCCGGTCCGGCTGAACCCTCCTTCAACCAGGCCAGGTACCCCATCACCCAGCCACAACCCCCCAGGATGCCATGGCAACAGATGCCTGCACGAAACCCAAGCTACTCAGTTGGGTATCTTTCCCCACCTCCACCGTACTCGGGTCCCCTGCCTTCATCTCAGGGTTACCACCCAAATCAGGGCGCGGGGGTCCCGGTGTACCCCACAGCCATGGGTCCGTACAGCCCCTCCTCTCTGGCATACCAAACTGCATCCACCCACCAGGAGCTCCAGGTGAGCCAGGGGGCGATGCAGCAGCACCAGCTTCAGGCAATCAACGGGGACACGATGCCTGGCCACGGGAACATCCACATCTCCAGTCCTCTGGAGAGCGCCGCTGCGTCTAACATTCCCACTACCAACAGTAACCGATCAGTGATGGTCCCATCCAATTATAGTAAGCAGGAATTCTGGGAGATGAAGTCCTTACATTTCAAGGTGTTATGGCTTTCTTTTAACTGTCAGGTGGAAACATTTTTAATTCATTTTGTTTTCCTGATAGGCTTCAAGAGAGATCCGGGGGAGAGTTTGCCACGAGCAGTGCTCCTGGTGGATCCGCCACTTAACGACATGCCCATAGTACGTATATTTCTGTGCAACTTGATAACCTAATCAAATTAACTTCGGGTTTTGATTTTGAAACTAATATCTAATAAGTAGTTAGAAGTGGCTTTTATCTTTAAAAGATCACTGAAAGGCATCCTTCAATTTCCTGTAAGCAGGTGTTGGCTTTCATTATGGAAATCTGACAGTTTCCATAATGTGAAAAGTGTCACATTTCTGAACTCCCTGGTAGCTTTTCATAACAAAGTGATTTGTTTTAAAAATT